AGGGTTAGGACGGTTAGGGTTTACTTGGAGGTTCATGGGTAGTTATAAGTAGGGTTATAAGTCCCCTAATATGGATAGTTACCCTACTTATAACCCCACTTATAACTACCCATGAACCTCCAAGTAGGGTTTATCAGGCTTTAAGGCTCGGGGCTTTCCAGTTGGGATTTGGGGTTTAGGGATTCGGTGTAGGGACAGGGTTGGGTCGGAGAATCAAAGGGATACGGGGCTTTTCGGGGCTTTGGGGTTCAGGGCGGCCGTTTGGGGTTAGCAGTTTGGGGCAAGGCACTCCTTACATTGAGAATTCTGCTAGTCCTGTCCTTTTGCAGGGAAACATCATATTACAGATACTATCACCTAAGGTTCGCAGGTGTCGCAAGTCCATGTTGAGCTGCCTCAAGTTCCGAAACTTACAAGTGGTCTTATTCTGATGGGATTGGATTCAACAAGAACTCTACATCACAAACACTTCAACATACGATCAAGCAGCACGCTGCAGCGCAGGGCAGCAGCGAAGCCGGCCCAGAAGCAGGTCGTCACCACCATGAGTGGCACGTCACCATGTGCTGTGATTCGCCTGGTTGGGCGTCTGTGCTTGGGGCCAAGAAACAAAACATGGGAGAGGGAGCAAGGACTCTCGGCTCTAGATGCCACTGCAACGAGTTATATCAAAACAAAAATATCTCGAGTAGTTGCCGCAACAGCCCCGCCTCCAAGAATGAGCACCCCTGGCAGAATCTCGAATGACTCTGTCCAGGATGTGATACCCAGAAAGGTCTTGCAAATTCCATGCGCACTTGCGCAGCCGTTGGACAATGAAAGTGATGGCCAAGGTACTCGCCAACAAGCCGACGAGACTGCCACAAAGCAGGCCGAGATAACTCTTGGTCAAGTTGACCCCGATGCAGCTTCCATAGGAACAACAGCAGCAAACTGCGAAACAGCCCGCGGCGGCCGAACGCGAGCTATGGGGAGGTAACTTGTGAATGGCCGAGCGGATCAGCTGCTCATCTTTGTTCATCGGCAGGTCTGGATCTCCACAGCGAGCATTCTTGGAGGACACCGTGGAGTTACCGAGCAAGTACTCTTCCTCGCTCTTCCGATCCACGATCTGTATCGGTAGTCCGGCATCTGCTGCCACCTTGATCTCCCAGATGCACCAGAGTCTACTGTACAGACCGCGCCCGTTCTGCCGCAGCACTTCATTCGGCACTACGAGCATGCGCTGGCAAGCCGGACTTCTGATCACCTCCGTAAAGGGGCTCTTGAGAATGTCATTGCCCAGCTGCGCGTCGATCTGCTCGGGAGTGCCTTGAAAGTTGGAGAGGAAGCAGATGAATGCCACCTCTGTATCCCAGGTAGAAGCCAGTACATCTTCAAAGAATTCCCGCGCGTTTTCCACCCAGGCGTGGGAGATCATGAGTGTGACTTGCTGTGGAGCATGCTGGTTCAGCATGAGTGCGTAGCCCATCTCAGTGCCAGCAGTAGCAGGCTTCACAACAGTCTCGACGAAGTGATGCACATCGGCATCGTCAGACCAGCCTGACTCCAGACGACTCGACTTGTAAAGCTCTTCGATCTGCTTCTGGCGGATGCCCCAGTACCTTCAAGCCCCTTTGACAGAACATGACAAAAAACGGTTTGAATTCTCCCCCTAGATTTTCCGTAAAAAATCGGAAAATGCCCCACAAAAAGCACCCAGCGACTTGGCGGTGACCCAAGTGCCATCCGGCAGGCGCTGAGGCCTTGGCCCACCCAGCCGCGACGCCTTGAGGGCCTGAGATCCGACCAGCTTCATCTGCACCCTTTCGTAGTGCGTGCCTGGGTTTAGGGTTTTTTTTTTAACCGGACCTTTTTCCCAGCGGGTTTTGGGTTTAGGGTTTAGGGTTAGGGGTTTAGGGTTTAGGGTTTAGGGTTTTAGGGTTTGGGGCTTTTGCTGAAGCGTCAGGCTGAGGGTTTCGAGGGCTTTTCTTGGATTTGGGGTTCAGGGTTTAGGGCTCTTACAGGGGACCAAGATAGGGATACCATATCTTGTACTACAGAAGCGAAACCATTATCGAAGTCTTACGAACGCCTTGTAGCCATAACCTTCATAAAACCCTAAAATACCCTTACGTACGTTCCTTGACAAGAAGCGCCGCCAAAAAAAAAAACATAAATGTATGTGCAAAATATGTATATATGCAAAAATCGATTAACATAAACCCTTACTTAAACCAGTAACTTCCAGAGCCTAAGTAAAACCCCTGAACCAGAACCCAGCTGCAAGGGGAGAGGCCCTTGAGTGCCCAAGAGCAGTCCGAGCTTTCCGAGCTCGCGAGGGAGCTCTCCGACTCGGACGCCGCGCCGTAGGACGAAGGCCCAGGAGCCATGGGCCAGAAAAAACTGAAGGCTCAGAGGTAGGGGCCTCGGGTTCGGGGTTCGGGACCTTCGGGTGCAGGCCTTGATATTGGGCTGCGGCCTTTTTGCGGCTTAGGGTTGGGAGGTTGAGGGCTTTGGCTTCAGCTAATTGTTCCAGATCTTGTAATGGGCTGCTGAGCCATGCTGAGCCGCGAGCCTTCGGGGACCACGGTCACTAAGGGCCCAGCGGGTCTTGCAAAGCCTGGGAAGCAAAGGCTTCCAGCAATCTAGCATTACTTTCTTTAAGTCTGTGTCATCACCACACACTAACCTAAAACCCTAAACCCTATACATCCCAAGAATACACAAATACAACACAGATCGCACCGACATGATTGCCATGCTGCTAACCGCGAACATGCGATCAAGTCACCGTTTCCCGAAACCACGCATTAGCTCGGACATGTCCGGCTCTAAGAGACAATCTCTCATGGATCTGACATCCTGCGGCGCTGATCCAAAAGTGCCCCTAAGCTCACCCCAAGATGCTTGCATGCGAGAAGAGTGCCATTTGCGAAACTTGTTCATAATAACAGCAAGCCATTTGCTTCCCGCGGTGGGGCGGCTGTTCATGCTTTGTTCGTAGACCACAACAATATGCATGGCATCCAGTGAAAGACTCTGCAAGTTTGGCAGGACTTCCTTCAGAGTCTGAAACATCTCCGCAGAGGGAGCATCAGAAGCCACATGTAACACCTGCACGCGTTGTGAGTATGTAAACCTGCTTTTCAGAGAATCCGCCAGGATGCGTGACTTCCCAGACCTGATCCCACACGGTGCCAACGTTGCGCCAGTGCGGCCACGACATGTCATAGTTCTGTATGCAGCTTCGTTTTGATGTCCCCCCCCCCCCCGGAACCCCCTCCCCAGGATTTATACTATTTACATTACTTAATTTTTTCAATGATTTAATTCTAATTCCCGGCCCCAATTAAATGATCTAAATGAATAAAATTCCGGGGAGGTGGCGCCGGAATTAAATTATCTACATTATGTAGTTGGGGCCGGGAACCACGCGGAGACCCCGCCTGGGATATCATAGCTATTTGCCTGTCTACGTTAAATACCATAGGAGCGAACACCCATGGTTCCAGCTGGCGATGCTACCACATTTAAGCCGCACCCCCCTCCCCCCCCCCCGCCATGTTACCCCAA